ATATTATTTTAATACATTCTTAAAATTCCACTACAACTAACCATACCACTTTTTTCAAAATTAACTATAGTTAACCAAAATAACTCAATTTGAACAAATTATTTTATAAACAATCAAGCCCTTAGGCTTTTCTAATACGATAGAACCAGCCTTACTGTTTCGGCTTTAAAAGTTGTATATATATGTGAACAAATATCCTGTTAACTATATAATTACGACAGTTTGCCATATCATTGGAGCTAACAATCTTTTGGAGAGGCTTGCTTAAGATCAAGCTTTTATATTTATGCTCGATAGGAACGTATTCCTTTTGTCCTTGGATAACCAACAAAGAGTCAGAAGAGTTTACACTTCTCTTCTCGTTCTGTATAGAATTTCAGCATGGTTTATCTTTCTTTTCCAAGGATTTATGGAGATCAGTTTTTTTTGTAGTAGAGATAGAATAACAACTGTAGGAATCAAAATGGTAGGCGCTTTATTTCCCGTTACAAGAGTTGTACGACTCCCAATGCTTTGTTTAAATTATTTTCTTGTACCTTGTTTTTCTACTGTAGTAAAATGTCTCTTTGTTGATCGGAGTCTTTGTTGTTCAGTTTTGGTATCTAAATCCTATCTTTTCCTGCTTGAGAATTAAATCAGTCGATTGTGCTGCTGTTTGTTGTCATAGAGTGAATGAGAAACTGATATGACACACATATGTTAGTGGATAGTGACCACTTCCATCATATTTTATTTTCTTTATCATAATCTCCCGCCTCTTGAAACTACTGCTATTATGCATAAGGGAAAGCCATTTCCACCTCTCTATTCAATTGTAAATGGTTCAATATCTGCTTAGAGTTAAATCAAATTGATGTAATAGCTCGTGTCAGATTGATGATGGATGATTCAGTGCTGTTTTAAGTACCATGTTTGTAAAATGATGGTTTGAACGCCAATTTAGCTGTTTCTTTCCTTAAGATGATATTCTGACATGTTTATTGTATGCCAGGCGCAACAATGTTAGGACTAGTAAAGAGTTGCATTGGTACTAAGTTCACCAGTCAATTTGGTGATTTAATCGCTGTAAGTACTTCCATCACTTTGACTGTTTGTGTAGCAATCTTATCCCCCATAATTTGTGAAAGACCAGAGGGTTATTTATGTCTTTCTAGTCTCCTGCAGATTGAAGTGGTTTTATTTCTTCCAAAAAATAATTTGGTAAAATCAGACCAGTGTGCCTGTTAAAAATGTCAAGAATGAAAACATCGTAAAGAAGAGCATGTCAAGTGCTGATTTTATTAGCAGTGTCTGGTGGAAAAATTGATGGATGAGAAGATTATTTTTATCGTATGAAATAATGCAATACATCTGCACCAACAAAAGCATCAACTTGTGTATGGATACCCTTTTAAAACAAAGTAATGATCTTCCAATTAAATTCCAAAAACATAGGTATTCTGATGTTATCCATCTGTTTAGACGGACGAAGTATGGGACTTCCACAGTTTTATGGTATGACACTTCCAACAAAGTGGGAGGCTAGGAGATAATAAGTTAATAGTTTAGGATGGTCATTGTACTTTTAGCATTAAAAACGTTCCCATTCCTTGTTTGCATATGACAGGCATTTGAAGTTGTTACAATATGATTAGCTTTGGATTCATGGTATGGTGTTTGTGAAACTTTCAGGACTTGGCAATCGATGCAACTACTACAGCAGGTGTGGAACTTGGTCAAGGATTGCGTGAGGTAGACATCAAGAAGTACATTAAAGTAGAGAAGATTCCTGGTGGTCAGTTGGAGGACTCAAAAGTCCTAAGGGGTGTCATGATTAACAAGGATGTTGTTGCGCCTGGTAAGATGAGGAGAAAAATACTAAACCCGAGAATCATGCTCCTAGATTGTCCTCTTGAGTACAAGAAAGGTGAGAACCAAACCAATGCCGAATTGCTGCGGGAAGAAGATTGGAGCGTTTTGCTGAAAATGGAAGAGGAATACATTGAGAACCTATGCATGCAGATACTAAAATTCAAACCAGATTTGGTAATAACTGAGAAGGGTCTTAGTGATCTAGCTTGCCATTATCTTAGCAAGGCCGGTGTGAGTGCAATCAGAAGGCTAAGAAAGACTGACAACAACAGAATTGCAAAGGCCTGCGGGGCGGTGATTGTTAACAGGCCTGATGAGTTGCAGGAATCTGATATTGGTACTGGTGCCGGGCTGTTTGAGGTGAGAAAAATTGGTGACGAGTTCTTTGCATTCATTGTTGACTGCAAGGACCCAAAAGCATGCTCGGTCCTTTTGAGGGGTGCCAGCAAGGACCTGCTGAATGAAGTTGAGAGAAATCTGCAGGTAGTTCTCAGTTTTGATATATTACCAATACTTGTTCCTTTGTAGTTTGTAGGGCAGTGACCAAAATTTTATATTTTTGTACATAGGATGCAATGTCTGTGGCACGAAACATTATTAAAAACCCCAAACTTGTTCCTGGTGGAGGTGCTACGGAGCTGACTGTATCAGCTATGTTAAAGCAAAAGAGTTCTTCTATCGAAGGCGTAGAAAAGGTAAAAAAATGTTGATGCTCTTTTGTTGTCTATGTTTATTGGTTCTCAGGTAATCCAGTTAGTCAGTTACATCCCAACTCTGTCACTGTGAGCGTGATACTGGTATTTATTTGCCATAAATTGTGTCAATACCAGGTTTCCTTAATATTGATATTCATATTTATTGAGGTGGTTCTATCAGATTGTTTAAACTCGCGCAGTCATAAATGGTACTTTGACTAAGAATCTGCACTAGCCTCAACAATCTTTAATCTGATACTTCTCCTGATAAACCTGTTGTGAAACTACTGTGTAACTCATGCATCTTGGTTGTATAAACAAGTATTTGAACTTTTTAACTCTATGGCAAACTTTGTCATACTGATTTGGATTACATTAGCTCATGCATCTAGCATGAAAATATCGGGAGATTTGGATGTCACTTTTTTGAATGTTCTTCTTTCTTAATAAATTTCATTCTCTGCTGTCCCTGAATAGTGGCCTTATGAAGCTGCTGCAATTGCATTCGAGGCTATACCAAGAACTTTGGCTCAGAACTGTGGGGTCGATGTAATTCGGAAAATGACTGCCTTACAAGGACAGGTAAAACATTCTTATATTGGAGTTTCAGTTATGGTTAAGTTCTCATAAATGTCGTGCTCTGTACTTACGTATTTATTGTTTTAGCATGCAAATGGTGAGAACGCATGGATTGGCATAGATGGGAATACTGGTGAAATTACGGATATGAAAGAACGCAAGGTTTGTTTTTTTGGTTATTTTTCCTTTCTCTACTTTGTTTTGGATGGATCTTTAGCCCATTTAATGCACTTGTAATTTTTTTGTGTTTGACATACTAATTTTTGTGGGTTTTAGATTTGGGATTCGTACACTGTGAAGGCACAAGCTTTTAAAACCGCCATTGAAGCTGCTTGCATGCTTTTGAGAATTGATGATATAGTAAGTGGAATCAAGAAGAAGCAGGCTCCTGGTCAGGCTCCATCAAAGCCTAAAATCGAGCAAGAAGGTGATGCAGACAACGAGAATATGATTCCTGAGTAAGACTAAAGTGCAAGTGGCTCTATTTCATGTCTGATGTATGAATGAATCTGTCTTTTCTTCACTACGAAGACTGGTTCTCAACGGCCTTTTCTTCGGCAGTGTGTTCTTTTCAGCTGGATTTTGAGTTTTATTTTATTGCTTTGGTCTAGCTGTAGTATGATTTTTGTAGTCGTTACTTTCTATTTCTCAGAAACTTTTGTTACTGCCTTGTCATGAGCTTCTGCTGAGATTTTAGATTGTG